TTAATGTATACATATATCAATAGGGTTAGTTAATACTCAAGCCAGTAGATAAGGTACTGAAAGCGCGTCTTGTTCGCTACATTTTTTGTATCTAGTGAATCTATCGGAATTATTTACCCTTTTTGAAAGAAAAACAAAGATCAGACCGTACTGAGTGAGGGAACGGATTATGTACATGCGGTTCCGTACGAAACTGGCTCAAGCGAACATCACAACTCGGTGTTTGGATGACTGTATCCGTGAGACATGCCTACCCAAAACGGTTCTGCAGTCTGCGGGTCGTCGCAACCGCAACAACCTCTGATGTCTAGCTTTCCATCGTCTTAAGCGGAACGAAAGAGGCTTGTTGGTTACGTGTAAGGATGAACTACATAGAGCGCAGACTGACACCAGGCACCACACCAGGTTATTACGTAACCTGACTGACGATGTGGCCGATTTTTTTATGGCTTACCGAGAATAAAATTGAGAATCAACAATTTCGCAAGCGTGAGATGAATTAGCGCACTGAACTCCTGATTTGTGATAGTAAGAAGAAATTCCAAGTGAATTCTGCGTAACATTCACCATAATTTGTCTGCTTGAATTCGGATAAAGTCAAATTAGAACTACAGGCATTCAGGTTTAAATTTTGTGGTCCACCAAGCAGTGTTCCGCAACCCCAGATTTCGGGGGGGGAGAACGGTTAAATTTAAAAATCGATCTATTCAAATGTTTGGTATGAAATCATCATCCGATGTTGATGAGAAGAAGATGAGAAGACATGTATTTTTCGCCATCCGTATTTGAGTCAAGCACGTGATGAGAAACGTATCTTATCTAACAGACATTTTGATACGCTGCGAGAACTAAGAATGCATCCGGATATCATCCTGCCAGAACTAGGTATAGATACAGGCATCCTTGTTGTGAATCAAAAAGAATTACTGGGATAAAGGGAACGTTCAACTTCTTCTTCACGGAACCAAATTCACAAGCACCACAGAGTGAAAAAAAAATCACAAAATCACGGCTATCAGGAAGTCAATTTCCAGCTTTAGCCAGACGGAATCACTGGTTTTTCAACATTCTATCAATATCGGAAACGACCGTTACCACATTGTCTGGATTACCAGAGATCGACTAAGACCGATCTCGGATATGTGCAAGTTGTTTTATCACCTGTTGGCAATGTAGTTAGCCAAATTAATTGAACCAGTAAAGAGACAGATAGTTGACAAAATACTGTCTGAAGGATTCATTTGAAGTTGCAGATTTCATAGAATCATTACATGCAACCAACGGATATGTATATTCATGTTGAATGTTACTTCGCTATCTCTGAATGTTCCATTGAAGGAAATAATTGATTTTTGTGTGCTTAAACTGAAGGAGAAAATACATATGAATATTGGAATTTCTCATCTGAACGCTCAAGTAAACTCCTTTTGCCGTGCNTGGTGGTGGTGGTGGTGGTGGTGGTGGTGGTGGTGGTGGTGGTGGTGGTGGTGGTGGTGGTGGTGGTGAAGTGATTGAGATCATCAAAATATTAACCCGGAACTCCCGAGTTTGAACCACCACACATCGCTTTCCGTCATCCCCACTTCTATATTTTCCCAAACAGCCTGTGTATGACAGCGGCCCCTTCCTGGTAGTTGATCATACACAGTTGGAAAGATGTGAATGCTGTCAGTTCACCATTAGGCCCTTTATTGGCGGATATATATATATATATGCATGATAAAGCTAGAGAACGAGACATTGCCCATCTGGATCCGGCAGTGTCCAATGCAAGCTTTAAACTGATTATATAATTTATACTGACAAAACGGATGATGAATCTGTCAAGTCAACAGCTCTAAAAAGGGATACCCAGAAAAACTTATTGATCGTTGCATGAAAGCTTAAATTGGGAAACCAAAGGACCCAAGGGTGGAAAGTAAATTCGTTTACATTTAATCGCCTTTCAAAGGTGATACTCTTGCGAGGACAATGAGCAAACTACTGAGGGGTGTAGCTGAAAATAGTTATTTCTTAACCGAATCGATCATATTATATTCTTCCAAATCAGTTTTCCCATTACAGATGAAGCACAGACAACCGATGGAGATGACCCATTTTTGTTTCCACCAGTCTAATTTCTCCTGTGGTGCAAATTACATGGGTTGCGCCAACAGACATCTCGCGGATTGAATGAGAGAAAACCACCTAGTTTGAGTCAGTCGAGGGTCAGTCGATAAGGACTGGTGCGAGTTCGATTGCTATACATCACATCGCGGATGTGCCAGAGTTGTACTGTCCAATCTACATCCAATGAAGAGGATTCGGTCAAATTATGACAAAACCCGATTGCGATAGTCAATAGGATAAACAAACCGTCAAAATATGTGCATAAAAACGGTTTGTCGAATCTCTTAACTTCCGGCATCTGAGGTGTTAATATTGCAGTCAGATATTTATACTGCTCAAGGGATTATCTACAGTTATGCGATCTGTTTTGGAAAATTCACATCCAAATTCGCCAAATCTATAGTTCGCACATAATGAAACCTTTATGTGACTGTTTTTTTAATGTTGTTTCCNACACTGAAAGCACGGCTTTTTCGTCACATCTTTGTTTTGTTTGTTCCAATGAGTTCATTGGAACTATTGACTCATTATGAGGCCTCAATCTAAAGGAGGAATATTTTAAAATGCCTTCCAAGCAGCCTGATAGTGTATTCTGAATAAAAAATCAGAGTAGACTAAGTGTGGGGTTACCAGAACTTAAATGTTGTCGGTCGTTAGTTAGCCGTTTATTTCCTACGGAAAGATGCTGCTACATTGCATCTAAGAACCTTTTCTGATCTTTTTTCGGTCAGTATTTGATTCTAAAACACATTCAAAGGTACAGTCTTCTATTTATTAGTTTTCGGTGCAATCTAACACACAAATGCATACGTACATGCATAGATGTTGTTGTCGATTAGGCGGTTTTATAGCCCAGAATCCGCTTTTTAGTTGTTGGCTTCTTCAATCGATAACTTGGGCCCTGACATCCATGAGATTCATTTCCCAGCGAGCCACGAGCACACACAGACTGACAACATCACTGGCAACAGTGCACGAAATAGCAGAACTATATAGAATGGCCGAACACATACCAAGTACGTGCTTGATTCAATAATTGAGCCTGTACCACAGATTCTGACTGCATCGCATAAACCGACCCGGGGCCATCGTACGCTACTTGGTTGAAAGCCGTCACAAGATAGATCATGCGAACGCGTTCTCAGTTTCGTTACGTCATTGTGACAAACACCGACGAAAGATACTCGAGGCATTATCGATCGCTCACAACAAATAGCAGTATGTCAGGTTACTAAGTATGCGCTTTAGTATGTTGCTAGACTAAAACGTGAGACAAACGCGGATATTTTCTCGCGGATTCAATCCATCCAGACGCCCTCAGTTTTCTCTCGTGCCCTGTACTACCACTGAACAGATAAATGAATCTGTTTTGAACCGATAGAAACGAATTAGCTCAACTGCCTGTGTCTCAAAACTCCAGTCTTCTTTTCGTTCAACCTGATTCAACTGAGTTAGTGTTTTCTGGTTTCTAAAAGCATGGTTTCAGTTGATTGACAATTTAATATGTCTGCTAGAGTTAGGCTATTTTGCGTGTACCAGAAAAAATCTATATACACACACTCTGTTTGTAAACAGTCGTGTGTTTCCCTACGACAATAGAACAGCAGTATCTTTGTTTTGTAGACAAAGGACAGGACAATGGAACTTAATCCGGCCTTCAAAACTTTTCCCCACTGATTTCGGAATTTCACTCTTTTTTCTTCTCCGTGATGTTTGGTGCTTAGGTATAAGTCCCGTTCTAATATCAACCAAATTCTGGTTTTCGCACTGTCAATGAGAAAAATGAAGCCTGATATTTTGACAGTCAAATGCCAGTTTGGTTTGGGCTTGGTTGTAGGTCTTTTAGGTCAGACCTATTTTCGATTTTCTATTCCGTGGCATTGCTCACATGGGACTATGTCGACTCTACTTTTGACTAAATTCTGGTCGGTTACCGTGTGAATAACTATGACATTCTGTGCTTACTCGGTACCGTGTAATGATGCAACAATGGCACGTTGGGTGTTGCTGACGCGAAACTATCCAAACTAAACGGGGAACAAATTTCCGAGTCAGTCAAATAACCCTGTTATGACCATTGATTTTGGAAAGGAATTCTGGTTGCCCAAACAAACCCAATCACAAATGTGAATCAGCAAAGTGGCTTGTGCAAAGCACATTCTAGTGGTATAAATATGTCATGGTATTGGTTGTCGATCCTAACCTCAAATCTAGACATTTTTCAATTGTCATTCGAATGCGTCATGTATGTGAGATTTGCAAACTGACCATTTTCGATCACAGTTAAATATCCAACGGTTCTGACACAGTGAAAGATCCCTCTATGTATAGTTTACATAGTCAAACTTTGATGGGATCTATACAACTTGTGTTGCTAAATCTGTGGAGATTTCTAAAATGTAGAACTACCAAACCTCATAATACCCGTGCACACACACACACATACAGACAGGCAGACAGGGAAAAATGATCATATGACCCCACATAAATGACGGATAAACGTATTAGCAGACGAGCGGACAGACGGTGGAACGAACGCAACAGGCCGATTGCGATTCAATGCACTGGACCGATGTATCGATTTGCAGGTCCGCTCGCATTTCACTTTGCACACGCATGAAGCATGGACACAGAACTTCCGGTCATTTGGGATTCCTCATACAGACAACTATTGCCATACACATTTTTACCAAATGCAATCAATACGCCCAGTTTTGTCCTCATTAAAATGCGTAACACAACCATCAAGATCAACTGACTATTATGTGCTTTAGGAATCAGTGCAGATTTGCTGGTTCAATAAAAAGAGGTACCGAAAATACAATTCCGTGATGCGAACTGATGTTCATTATACTATTCCATTTGGTTGGTTGTGTTGAACGCCTCAACCTATGATTGGGTTTCAACGGTGAGCTCAAAACAACCCAATCCAACTACCGGTAGAAAGAAAACGGGAGAGTGTTCACGTTTGCCGACAGCGGGAGTACAAGACGTATGCGAATTCTAATTTTCGTGCTATCTCGTGGCAAATGTTGCAATGGACCCCGACCCAATTTGGATGAGGCCAAGTGCAGGATTGCTCAATGGCAAGCTTCTAATGAGACCGAAGGTATAAAATAGGTGTCCTTTTGCGGTGTGCTTCACACTTTATTGCCTTTTTATTACACACTTTCATGTGATGAACAGTGGACAGGGAAAGCCCATAATCACGAGGACCAGCTGTTCAGTGATGGAAACCGGTAACCTAATCTCCGGGACTTGGAGTGAAGAATCACATAAGGCCCCGATGGATTAGGTCAGGTATGGTATCGCACCGGGCAACAGCAAAGCTGTCTACCACCAAAGTTGGGTGGCAGTTGGACCGTAGGATCCAAAGCAAGCCAGTGACAGCGGTTAAACCACTGCACCACCACCATCCTAAAAACAGATATGTAAATACACTGTTTCACCAATATGCTAGGTCAATAGGTATTTTTTGCTGGAAAGTTACACAGTTGTTCAATCCAGGAGTTTCCACGACCGCACAATTAATAAACAAGTCCAAGGCACCTAACCCTCAAGTCACAATTTTGTCACGCGCCAAACAAAACAAAGACAAAACAGTATTGTGAAATTTTCATTTCATAAATGATCTGTATCTGCAGATCTTGTAGCCAAAATGACCGGATCAAATGAACTAAGGAACTACTAGAAATCGGATTTTATTTTTTGAATGATTCCGATAAACTTACTTCACTTGTGGATGATTAAACATGCAATCAGACATGCAAACATGTTAAAATTTTTCCCACAACAGTTTCAAACAATGCACATCGGAAACGAAAACATCACCACCATATATCATCGTTCGTACTTATCAAACTACAAAGGTTCCATCAACGTTCAGTTAATAGGACCAGGTGGTGGTGGTGGTGGAAGTGAAGGCATAGTGGTTCAGTCACCGTCAACGGAGTGCTTTGGAGCGTGTAGTCCGAGGTTCGAACCCCGCCACCGCCACCCAACTTCGGTGGTAAACAGCTTGGCGATCGTCTGACCTATCGGGGTCTTATTCGGTTCCACACCCCAAATCCCGGAGATCAGGTTGCCGGTTTCCAATACTGAACAGCATGTCTTCGTGACTATGGGGGTCGGCCCCGTCTGCAGTTCATCACACACTGATGTGTCATAAAATTCATTGGCATGCAGAATTGGGGTTGTTAGATAGCAATGAATTGATCGTGAATGCTGGCCGATGGTTTCATGTTTTTCTTTGTAATGAACGTTCCCTGAGGAGAATCACACATACACACACACGGAGTTTATGTATTGACGAGGAATACGTACTTCAATGAATGCGTGTGCACGAACGCTCGATTTGATGCCTTTTTCTTGTGCAAAATAAATCAATCCGTTTGCCTTCAATTCACATTCACCTTACAGTTACTTGTGAGTAGTGGCAGTAATTGGTGATTGATTGATTGCAATTGATCCCACTTCGAACTTGATCTCCACGCACAATCCTCAGTTTATCCGGGTTCGGGGTCATCAGTAGTGCTTATCAGATCAACATCATATAGCCCCTCACCGATGCTACTAAACACAATCAACCGTGAGGTAAATGTGAATTTATAACTTTTCATCTTGGTAAGTTATCCGGAATCAGCATGAAGCGCACCATTTGGTAGAAGGCTTTGACCGAAGTTAGCAGATGCCCAGCTTTGTCTTATTTCTTTTCTATCGGACCAAAAAGGGGTGGACGACCATTAGCGATCAGAATCGTCCTGTCGAGTGGGAGCTGGTCGTTGCAGCGATAATGACAATGCCTTCCGCGTAATGAGTGTACTGTTTAAATCTCGTAGGGGAAGTGGATTTACATAAAGTCAATATATTTATGATAATTAGTAGTATGTGAATGACTGAACAAAATTTCCCTGGAAGCACACGACCGGTTTCTCGGTTCTTACCGCTCGTCAGGCATGCGTACCCGGTAATATTTTTTTCCAGCTCATTCATATAATTGTACCCCGGGAGGTGTACTTTCTTCCTAATTACTTTGTTTGCAATACCGGTAGATTTTTGGATGGACACTTCTTGGGTATAAGTGTATGGTTGAACTGACAAAAGATTACCTCATTCACATGCCTGAAGAGCGGCAAGAACCGCGAAATCGGTCGCGTGCATCAAGGGAACTTTTGTCTAATCAACCATATATATATATATGTCTAATCCAACTCGTCGTAAGATACTTCTGATTAAATTATTGATTAAAATAATGACCACTTTCTACACCAACATCTTTTCGTGCAGATCAATTGATGTTAATCAAAGCGTACATTGAATGAACGAACATCGGAAACCATGGAAATGCGTTGGTTGTTGTTTTTTGTCTATCGCTTGATGACCCCACAAAATGTTAGCTACATCACTCCATGCCCAGCTGATTAAACCAACACGGTTTCGAACAAAATCTGTCCGATGAAAGTCCGACAGATGATCATCCAAGTCATTTCGGCAAACATTTTATCGCTAACTGGTTGCCACAGCCAGTTTCGGTAATCGTAGCCGGGATTGATGCAACCAATCGAATTAAATCGAAGTGAACCCACTCGGACGTGCTAACTTCCCGTCAAATCATTTTTTCTTCACTATACGGTACTCGGGCTACACATGCTACACATGGCCACTCTTTGAGCCCTGCGTAATGCGTGAGGGTGCATAACCGAAATACAGTTAACCGAGTTGTTACGAGCACCGTGTTCGTGCTCGACAAAATATGGAAAATAGCCGATAAAGATCGGAACATGCCCAGTCAAAATATGCATGAATGTTTTAGATATCACAGATAAGTTGTTCATTTTATTTTAGAATCTGCGTTTGTCCTGAAGTAATCATATAAATCCACCGCACTCCGTGTTTACAATAACTACCAGGACGGATTCCAAGGAGGTGCTTGGGTGCTATCCCTGAGTGGGAAGGGGGCAAGGACCTGAGCGCAGATATCAGATCTGCAAGCTGCCGGGATTAACAAGTATGAAGAACGATCCCATCCAGTTGATCATCCCGATGACTCAGAGGGTGTATAGTAAACGAAATCAGATCATTAGATGTCCATTTTATTTTACGATTAAACAGTCAGTCTGCCAGGAGTACAAAACCTTCAGCCATATTTTGCTAAATACTGAATACTCCTAAAGAACGACAGAGACAGCTGGAAGCTACAAAGACGTATGACTTCACCATTTAACTCACTCGCGTAGTGAAAATCCCATCCAAATGGCATTTGTGATTTGTGTACGACAATCGGCAATTCGTTCATGTAGAATGATAGTCCGATGACTAAGGAAAACTATATTCTCTATTTGAACTAGGTACCATACAGTGGTCGTGTAAAAGAAGACATGGATTGCAACAAACCTTCCTTGGTAATGCATAACAAATGTTTTACAAAATGACACCTACAACTACCACACCGTGGGGATATAACATGAAAATATTTGCGGTTAAGATTATAAGCAATAGACAATTTTATGTGACCTATGTGACTTACCGAAAATTTCCTCAATTTGGGCATACACATCACGTGCACAGGATCAATAATTATACACAAGAATCCCAGTGTGATTTTTCTGGTATTACAGAATATCCTCATACAGAACACACATCACCGGACAACAACAGCTGGTTTGTGTGTGTGAGCGATCCAAGCGACAGATGTGGGGACCGGGCGATGATGATGATGATGAGTCGGAGGATGTGAATGTGGATGTAGATGCAGATGTGGATGATGATGATGATGATGATGATGATGTTGATGATGATGATGATGATGATGAGGTTGATGACGTGGATGGTGATAATGGTGGAGATGATGAGATGAGATGAGGAGGAGGAGGAGGTCAGCACAGGCACAGCCAACAATATCGTTGGGGAATCTGGGCACAAAACATGCCATAGCACAAGTCCCCGATTTCATGGGCGCTTGTGTTGATGCACATAGTAACGCACGCCCGCACGCACGCCCGCACGCACGAACGGACACGCGCACACACAAGGGCGCGTGCGTGCACGCATGGGCGCATGCGAAGAGCAATGGCAAGAAGCACAGACACGCACGACCGCACTTACACGCACGGTAGGAAAAGCGAGAACGGGAAAAACTCACCGACACACACACACACACACGCTCGCAATGGCATGCGCACATGCATGCTCGCATGCATGCATGCATGCACACACGCATGTTGAAACGCCTGAGAGGCACACACAAATACACCAACGGTTACAGCACCGCTCAACAGGCGGGGGCAACCGAAACTGGACACGTTTCAAAATTTACCAGTCGGACAGTCTAGGTTATCTATGGTGGAATGGCATTACATTGAACGCATGTCTTTATGTGCATGCTTGTCAAAGCACTTTTTCTCCATGGCCAGATAAGCCACCGGGACCCGAACCTAATGCCAAATGGCAGAGCCAATCAGGTGTGTCCGGGTCAGTGTAAGATCTGATTGGTTCAATTAATTGGTAGGGTAATTTGAATGTATAGTGGTTTCACATAACCAATCGACTGCCCAGCACACGGAAATGTCCTACATCGGCACGACGATATGAGTGTGTGAATAGTAAATCAACTTGTACTGGGATTGAGCAAATATCCTCGTACATAGTTCCATGCCTAGAGACCGATTGGGAACAAAATTTGATTGGAGTTTTATGTGGGAAATGGTAGTCTGGTGCATTCCATCATTACATGTGCACGAATATCAACCTCACTTAGGGGTTCAGTTTTAAAACCATTTCCCTTCACTAACTGGTATTAACGGGATAGGATAAAAAGGAAAAAGATATCTATTGCAGAGTCATAAACAAATTAACGGTCCGGGCCAAAGTAAGGTTCACGTTCTTCTATCTCTCTGTTTCTCTTGTTCGGTTTGTGGGAAACAGGAGAGGATCTGTACATACACACACACACACACACACACACACACACACACACGCTTGTGCGTTCTGATGATATGTGGGAGAATTCGAGGCGAATGGATGGATGGGAACAAAAGTCTGTTGATTCACCATAGGTGAACAAGATTGGAAGATTGGTCCACTCCTGTAAGTTGATCAGTAATCTTCTTCGAAGTTTGACAATCAAAATTCATTGGTAGAAATTGTCGAAATGTTTACTTATTATCTTACTGCCACACTTGAAAATCCTGTTTCACCGGGTCAGGATTTGGATTCGGAGATTCGGAGAACTCGGTTGGGTTAGGGTGAATGAGGGAACAGGAACAAAGAGTAAGGNTATTGATCGATTAACAAAGAAAGTATCGGATTTGAAATAATGCACGATGAGGTTTCCCAACACAGTTGTGGAAGTAAGAAGATACAAAAAGGATATTTTTTCTACCGACACCATGATGCGTGCGCTCCAAAGGAACAGAAGGCTTCATCTATTTGAATGATACGTTTAGATGAATTCATTCGGATTCTATCCCGAATATACAGTATGACTGATTAGTTCTTTCTCCATTTGTCATCATTTTCAAGAAAGGCGAAGTAGCCAAATACAACAAGAAAGGGGGAAAGTCAGACGGTGTTGAAGGTGGTGGTGGTGCAGGTGGGATTGGAACACACGTCCTCCAGGGCGGGGTGACAATTCGGTGACGTTACCACGGGCGCAACAAACTGAAGGGCGTCATGCAAGTAACATCTAGCTTAATAGGAATTTTTCAAAGGCTATCAGCAATAGTCGTTTTCATGTGAGTAATGGAGGATTTGGTTAAATTTCAAATGTGAATTCGTCGTGTATATAGCAAATGAAGCGTGAACTGAAAAGCTCGGAAGCACTGGACAGTCGGGTCGATGGATTCGCACTGCTGATGAGACCCAACCAGGTCGAAATAGTCGTTTTATTAATCGCAGAGAACACATTCAAAACAACAGTGTGGCAAACAAGCTCGTTTTCAGTTATTCGTAATTATGCCATTACATAACATTAAATATGACTAACAATAAGAAACGAAACAGGGGATGGGAAATTCGAGTTCTAATGATTCAGCTGTGGCTCCAATCATGCTATCAGCAACATCAAGACGTCGAGCGTGGTTCAATAATTTACGGAACATTTCTTTGCACTGGATTGTAGCTGGATTAGCTGTGAAATCTATCAGGGCTATGTTTGAGGTCAAGCACAGATTCAATAACCCGGTCGGTATATGCATTCTTCCGTCCGGCGGATTAAAACATCGAAGATGGAAGATTAAGGATCTTGAAACTTTAAAAAACCTTGGCCGGAAACATAGTGGTGTCAATTTAATTTCAATATGCGGAAATGAAATGAAACTTATTTTACATTAGACACAGTAGAAATTTGAACGATTGACTTCAATAAACGTTGAAACGAGAGCTGATGAGTGTACCACAGAACTGCCTCAAAGCACATCACCGCCAGCCCCGCCCGCCCCGGATGTTTGCCAAACTGGACACTATGATTTTGAATGCATTCAATTGTTTCTGGTCAGAAGATGGGGCTTGATCAAACTTCGGCCCGTTGACCATTATGTACATCAAGAAGAAATCTTCTCAAATCCTAAACGGAAAACATTATTCACGGGAAAAATAGTCCGAGATTTGGAACCAGTCGGAATGGGTTATAATCAATATTTAGGCAGTTAATTGCACGTTCATACATTGTTGCATGCATTATTGTTTGAATCGGTTTGGTCCATTTGAGGTGGTACTGCTCCCGCTTCGCTTACGCCATATATTCATTCGACCACACAACCACAGGCCTGCAGTTCATGGTTGTAACTTGATGATATTGTGTTTTAACTTTCACAGGTATAGTTAGACAACAAAGACGGTGCAGGAGCTGTTTCCCACTTTGCATGTGAAAAGACGGCGATAATGATCTAACGGCGTTGGGAAGCATCTCGCGGCTTTATAAGTTGATTGTTCTAACCCGGAGATCAATTGACTAAGCGTCAATCAGTCTCAATCAGTCTCCATCTCTTAAAGTAATCGCTCTAATTTCAAGGTCAATTCGGAGGAAAGTAAGAGAAGGAAAGCAAACTCCATCAACATAATGTTCGATTTTACTCCAGTTAGTCCGCTTCACACCAACACCAACTACCGAACCCGCCACAGTTCTTCAACAACTAGTGAAAACAAAGTTGAATAATGCATCTGGCCTGAGGTGCACAAGATTTGTGCGGACACTCTTGCAGCCCCATTCTCCAAAATACTCAGTGACTGTTTGATAAGTGGAAAAATCCCTGATANTGTAGATTGGCCAAGATAACTCCCGTTCACAAAAAGGAATCTGGGTCGTATCGTCCCATTGCCTGCACATCAGTCATGTTCAGTCATGTATTATTTGAGAGATGCTTGTTACCATGGGTTGACACTGAGTCTGAGGAAGACGATATAAATCAATGTTTTCCCCATTTTTCTTTTCAATGTATGTCAAACAATTTCCCATCCCTCCTGTATGCATTGGCTTTAGCTACGCAGATGACGTTGTTTTAGGGTGTAAAGCATTCACCCTTGAGGATGCTTCAGCAATTCAAAGCAAACTAAACGACGTTGTTGCTTCGTCCTTGTCCCGTTTCTTCTCATTGAATGCCTCTAAATGTCAGGATGTTGTGCTTTCCCTCTTGACCGATGTACCATATTCAGTCCTCACAGATAGGTTCCCCACTCTCTCTCTTTGCCAATCAACAGCTCGCACCGAAATTAAAAAATAGTAAAATACCTTCGTGTCACCTCATCACACAATTTATCATGGTCACTGCATGTTCAAAACACATTCTGTAGAGTTAGAAAGCTTTCATATTTCTCACTCCGACTGAGATTACTTTCTGTTCCCCACAAGTTGATTGTTAGATTTTTGAATGCATGCGTGTTACCCCACTGATTGTATTGCTCCCCAGTGATTTTTCACGGTATTTTGATGAAAGACTTATTTACTGGCGAAATCTTTGAAAAACATCTCTAAATGTAGTGGCATTGTCAGGGATAAACTCGTCGATCCTATCACAGACGGACACCTAAAAGGATGCGAAAAATTCACTGCCAAAATACTCCCAGACACTCACTACCCATTGCACAACGAATTTTTAAAAGCTGAATTTACATCATCCACAAGCTCCAGATTTAAACTTTTATTTGCACGTACCTCTGCTTGTCGTAATTTTTGTTTACCATATCTAGCACGTCTACTTATAGACAAGGAGAAAATTTCCACTGAATCGGGTAAATGTTTGCTTCCTTGACAAACACAATTGTGGTGATTGTGTATAAACTGAACATTCTTGGTTCTTTACATGATTGATTGTTTTGTACAATTTCGGCGCGTAATATAATTCGACTTCGAATATTCCGGTGTTCTATTTCATACTGCGTACTAGTTCGGTTGGAGCTTAATTCCGTTGATTATTGCAATACGATTTCTGATACCAAGTACAGACTATCACACTTGGCGTCGCGGCCAGTTTTTATCTCATTATGGACACCTGCAGCTTGGAAATTCTCGATATTCATTCGAATTCACGTTATGTGGAAGATTATTTAGAGCGTTTTGAGATTTGGTGTCTCACCCGCAAGAGTCTGGACGCCGAGAAGAAAACAGCACATTTTCTCTCAGCTGTCGGAAAGGAAGCTTATGCGCTGATTAAAAATTAGGCATTCCCAGGGTCACCAATTCAACTGAAGTAGGAAGAACTGAAGGATCTGTTACTAAAGCACTTCCCGCCAGTCAACTTCGAGGCAGCTGAGTGAGCGAAATTACATTACCTTGCTCGTGATCCTAATCAGTCCGTCTGAGACTTCATTCTTCAGCTGCAGACAGGCTGCGCGCTGTGATTTCAAAGATCAGCTTCAAACTCAGC